TCTATCCCTCTTCAAGCATTCCCTTTGACTCTGCCATTTATTTTGTTCCCAGACCAAGGGGCTTATTCAATGTCCACTCAACTAGGATGGGGCTTGGTTGGCAGCAGCCATATCTTTACACAACTCTTCCCCCCCAAAAGAGATAGAATTGGGATTGAAGGACTTTGACAAGATCCATGGAACCACTTCAGGAGTCTCCCCAGCGGCGGGGTGTCAGGCCCTTTGCACCTATCACCAGGATTATACCTTGTAGACACGATTCGTATGCCACTATTTCACACTTCGTGGCCAAAAAAGAAGCGAAAAGGAAGCGGTTTGTACTAGTCGTGGCCTATTAGGAAGAAACGCGGAAGGAAACGGTTTGCACAAATTTCAACCAGCAACACAACAATGAATGAGCTGCTTGTTACAATACAGTGAATATGCGAAGTTGCGAGGAACAGCCCTGCAACACAATGACGACTAGCCAATCCTTTCAGCGAACCGCTTTAGCGAAAGTCTGCAATGGATGTAGTGCAAGGAATAGAACACAACGCGCATACTAGCGGTACTACCTATTTGTAGCAACAGTTTCGTTCGCGAGGAAGTTTTTGATTTCTTTCTAGCTGGGTCGAGGAAGATGAGGTGCCTTTGAACTGGTTCTGTTGCTCTGGCAAAATTCACTGCGACGACATCATAACACGATCGCCGACCCCCATGGAAGATATGACACCACCCCCAGCAACAAGCAACCCTGAATACTTTAAGGAATACTACCAGCCTGCAAGTGGCCTGAAGACGCATGAGCAAATCAAACTTGAGCAACGGCGTAATTTGATGTTATCGATTGGCTTCTTGATGACATGAAGTTCCAGGGTTCATGGCTTCTTTCAGCTTTTTGCAGCTTTGCGCTTTTGTTCAAATGAGTTGGCAGTGCTTTCTGTTCTGAATCTCACCAGGAGCACTTTACCCAGGTGGCCGCCATGCCACGAGATGAGCGCGAAGCTTGCCGGTGAAGCCTTTGCCATATCAATCTAGACCCTGAAGGGGGGTTTTCAGGAGCACCACTGATGGCTCCTTACAGGTCCTTACATCACCATATTCTCAAGACCAACAGGTTCAAGATTGAATACCAGCAAACGGCGTGCCCACGGTGATTTGCATCGACGACCTGGGGTCTGTTGAAAGGTCGACCGTCACCATCACCCGCTCGACCACTCGATCACGGCCGAGGAGCTAGGATTGATCAAAGCATTGGCCGGAGATCCGATGCTTGGAGAGACGAGTTCGTCTGAGGGGGGTGCTCCCAGTCGTGGATGTTGAGTGGCTCACATTGGAAGATAAGGCTTCACAATGGAGGGGCCCACAGAATTGGGGTGTTTTGGAGCTAGGAAGACCCCAGAACTTGAGTTCACTTTGGAGGTCGATCATCAACCCTTTGGTTGGTTGGGGAGTTCCCTATTTCCAGACAAACCCAAATAGCAGACACAAAGGCGGTGCAGTTGGTTGAACCTACGGACAGCACAGCTGTGACTGGCAGCTTACAAGGAGGAGGTGATGACCCATCCAGTCCTTGGAACGCTGTGGGTTTTCACACATCAAATAGTAGACACAATAAACACCTACTCCTGCTGTTGCAGTTTGGAGGAATCAATTAATCTTTGTGTGACCACTGCCATTGACATGGGGAACCTACACCCCCAAACTCTACGAAAGAACAAGCTGTGCACATTCTTGACACAGAACCGGTGTGGCCAGGTTTTGTCTTCAAAAGCGGTCATCCCTAGGACTCTGCTGGGAGGTCGCTGTGCCGGAGACAAGTGGGTGTGTCTCAGCTGGAGGAAGACCAGGCGTAGAAGAAGTGGAACTGAGGGAGTCTTTGAGAGTGGATGCCAACAATTTTTGCAACTAAAGAGTGGTGTTATAATCAGGGCATCCCCACGCCCCACGCACCTCGTTATTGGAAACATCAGCTGCAATTGAGGTCCAGTAGAAGTTCAAGCAGTAAGAAGTAGACTCTTCCACTCTGACTCAACAAATGAGGATTGGAGAGATCTCCATTGAGCTTCCATCAAGCATTCTGAACTCAAATGTTGGGGCTGTGGCACAGCACAACTTGCAGGGCTTCATTTCTGATTGTCAGAGAACAAAGCAGTTTCAGGGTGGCTTTAGAGGGGCTTGCCAGGCACACCTCCTGGCAGAACTCGGGCCTCAGCATTAATGCTTCAACATGACTCGCTGGCATCACGTCCCAGGTACCTTGATGGCACTCGAGTGCCGGAGGCTGTGATCAGCTCCAGCTGTACAAACGGTCAGCTCCTTTGCGTGCAGGCCGAAGCTTAAGCTCTCTTGCCTCACTAGACCCGAACCAAACTGCTTCAGGCACGAAGAAACTGGGGATGTCTCAGCTGCACTCCAATTGGAACCCCCAAGTGGAATGGGTTCCTGGAAGACCACTTTCAAGAAGCGGTGGCCACTGTGAGACTCAAGGATTGGAGCAGAAGCACGCTTCCCTTCTTCCAACACTTGATATAGGTCCCAAACAGATACAAATGGTTTTCAATGCCTTTCTCGAGGGGATTTGCTTATCTATGGATCTTTTGGTGTCCACTATAAAGACCATTTCCCGAAAACGTGAGGTGTGATGATTTGTCGTTTCTGCACAGGAGAATGGTCTCAGTCGAAAACATGTTCGGCCCAGGGTTCCCAGCTTTGAAAGCAAATTTATGCTGCCAGGGTTCCCCCCTTTGCGTTTTGCTCTCGTGTATATGTTCGGACCTCACATTCTGGACTACTGGAACCCAAGACTGGCCATCTAATTTTCCAGTTTCCAACTTTGTGTTCCACCACCTCTTCATGGTCATCAAGCTGTCAAATTTAAATGTTGTGGTTATGGATGAAAAGTAAAGATGATCTCTGAAGCTCGGTGTTCAACAAGTGACCTCCACCATTCCCGGGTCCAGAAGGGACAAACCAGCACAGCCAGTCCGGCGCAGGGTGGGACTGTCTCCGCATGCGATGGGGCACAGAAAATTGCTTGCGCCTTTGATGCAGAGGTCAAGGGTTGTATATACAATACATGCTGCAATATATATATATACATACATACACTCACTGTACATAAGTATACATAATATATAAATATATATATACACATGTACATGCATGCATACATACAGACATAGTATGAATGTATACTTTGTGCTCCCCATGTGGTGTGAGATTTGTTCTTCTCATTACATGGACGTGTTCAAGAGGGGAGCCACACAGAGAGTATGAGTCAAAAAAGACTCAAAGGCCTCTGTGAACCCCAATGAGCTAAAGAGCTGCGGGACACTCTGAGTTGGACCTCTCTGGGTCTAGCCATAGTTTCTTTTGGCCAAGGGTCACATTTCTACATTGGCACATCTAGTAGTCAGTGGGTCCTTAATCCACAAGACTTTGCGAATACTTCTCCGGTGCCGAATTTGTATCGGATAGAGGCAGCCCGATGCATATGAGTCTTTGGAACCTCTTGCATCCAAGGCCAGATCCCCCGGCTATACACCTGCAAGGCCGACGTGACCTTGGAGGATTGGAATAGTGCGTTCGGGTTTGTCGCAGAGCTATCTCCACTTTGCCAAGAACCTAAATCGTTGGAAAAAGATGCACACTGTGAAGTGACCTGTTCAATCGTCCATTGCTTGCCACTGCGCAGAGAGCCTCACATGCACATGCTTGAGGAGCTCCTCACCGCATGCCCTGGAGGGATGCAACCGGCAGAGCCGAAGAGTGTGAGAGATCTGGCCACCAGGCAGAATATGCGAGCATAGTAGCACACTCAGGGATAAGTTTTGATTCATTTTCCCTTACTGTCTCCCAGTTTGGACGATTGTGAAATCAGGTTCCCTGATTTAGAGACATGTGGAGCTCCACATCTCGGGCTCCACTCTCACACCAAGGCAGCTGCACAAGATGCCATGGACAGTGAGAGCTGCACCACCAAGCAAGCTTGGACAGGCCACCTCGCAGATCTGTGCTCAAAGGGAAACAAAAAGATGACACGAGGAAAAGATGTTTCGCTGCCCCCAACCTTTTGGCGTCGAGGCTACTCCAGAGGGCCCAACGAGCAGCCTCAATGCTTCGAGGAAGGCGAGACGCCGAATTTTTGCGCAAGAGATGCACACAAGACTTGTATAACATATACTGCAACCGTCAAAGAGCATAGGCTGGGATTACATTATCTTAGAACAAGACTGCGAAGGTTACTCTCACTTTGTCATCTCGCATCTCCTTCAATCTCGAATGGCTACACGAGAAAAATAAGATTCCACATGGCCCTACGGCCTGCCCTATCCGAGACAGTTCTATCAGGGGCAGGTGGGGGCAGCAGGTGGTTGCCGACTGTCCTTTTGCGTAGCCAATTCGCGCCAATCCAACGCACTGCTGCAATCTCCTGGTGCAACAGGATTTGTTCCCTTCGAACAGTGTGGAGTCAACCGTTTTGATAAAGATGCCCTAGCGAGTTTATGATTTGCCGTTAACAACTCAAAAGCTGTAATGTGTGTGTATATATATTATACATTACGCATGCACAATATTTTTTTTGTGTGCTTGGTCTCGATGATTCTGGCAGGCAAGACCACCACGCAGACATGCGACAATGAGCCCAAGAGAACGGTGATGTGCGAGACAAAGTTCACGTAATTGCCGATGAAATACCATCGAGTCCAAAAAGGGGCGGTGCGTTGCGGACAAGGGCACCGCTACTAGTAACAAGGGCATTGCGGCATTACTACTAGGAGCAAGGACACTACGAACGTAGCTGGCTACTAGTAACAAAACCATCGCTACTACTACGTGCGCTTTCGCAGCAGAAGATGTGGGGGATCTTCGGCGACACCGAGGACTGGTTCGATCGAGTGGTCCGCCCTCACTGAAACGTATTCTGGGTCCTATCGTCCGTGGTGTTTTGCTGGGGATTTGGAACTCACTGTTGAGCCCTTTGGTTGGTTCGGGCTCCCAGTACACACCTGTTCCAGGTGGTCCTGAAAAGCTTGAGCTTGCCGTGCGTGCCTTGAGACCTGTGCAGTCGGGGTTTCCTTGGTTCTTTGTGCCGAGGTTTGCTCCGGGATGTATTTTCATGTTTTGTTATGCAGGCATTCTGATCCCCGGCCTCAAGTGACATAGGAGTGAGGCTGTCGAGAGGTGGAGCGGGGTAGATCCATAGGTGTTGCCTAGTAGCTACACAGCGACCCGAACCAGCTCAAGGTCCCAGCCCATGGCCGATGTGACGACCCAGATCAACCACTTGGACGCACAGAAGAAGATCCTCATAGCGCTGCCCAATGCCTTGGGTCTCAGCAGTCGATCCAGGCCTTCTGTGGAGGGTCAGAGGGCAACAAACCTGCAGAGGCAGCAGGTAAACTTAGCAATTTAGCATGTCTATGAATAGACAAGTACTCGCGGCTACTAGCCTGCACACGTGTTCTTTGCAACGCAGGCTGACCTTCCCACCTCTTCACAGGTGATTTCTACTGCTTTGTTCCCAAATGAATAGTGCGAGGGCTTGTTCACAGAAGCTCCCCCTGCCCTAGGGCCGGGGCACTCCTATCGGTCCCTCCAACCATTTCATACCAGCCGACTGCTCTGAATGAAGGGGATGGGAGACTTGGAGCATTCCCGAAGCCCAATGCTTTTCTCTCTAAAGGACTCTGCCCAAGCAATGTTCCATAAATGGGAACACGGAGCTGGAAGAGAATCCCACCGAGGTGTGCGAGAAGAAGAACATGTCCTTCAAGCGCACGTTGGAACTCATTGTTCCTTCCTAAGCCGCTGGAGCTCGCCGCACATGAAGCGCCACAGATGGTCTCATGTCATGCTCCACTGCAAAATCGGTTGACATGGCAACGCTAAAACCTTCAGGTGAACCAAGACTTTCTCAGGCCACCAACTTTGAACATGTTTACAGAACTCAGGTTGATTCAGGTTGATCCAGGAGTTCATTTTGATCTTGAGAGAGCCAATTTGTCGTCAGACGACCCTGAACCAGCTTTCCGTACATCATTCAAGATTTGTCGACTTAGTTAGAGCTGATCGCACAGTTGTGTAGTAGAATGGACTCCGAGGATTCCTTGAAGAGCTTCGGTGGTGAACACCCCGAGCTGAAGGTCCTGGATTGGCTGGGAATCCCAGCTTCGGATGATGGAAGTCGACCGCCAGAAAGCGTTGAGGTGCTGATACGTGATTCGTAGTGATGAGATAGCCTAGCCCATACCAAAATGCACAATTCATGCACAAGTTTGCCCACAATTCGGATGTGACCTCAGCTTTTGAGAGATCAAAGAGTCCCGCAGCCACAACACTCGCTTGGTGGGTTTTCAGACCAACATCCGGCGATTTGACACCTCGATTTGCGAGGTGTTGAGTCCTTGAATCCTCTCAGAGATGGGTCCTAGGTCAGGTCATACTGGAATCATTGACGTTATGCACAACTCTATTCATGCCTGCTTTGTCAATGTGGCTTCCACAACAGTTCACTCCACAGGCAGTCACTATATGCCTGGTTCTCTTGGTGTCACATATCCTTCATGCAGAACTTGATCCCCTTTACTTGGATGGAGAAAACTACTGCAAGTCCTTGGCTCTTGGCCTCATCTCTTCATCCACTTCTTCACAGTCTCTTCGCAGTCTCAGGGGGACTCCGACCTGATTCCTTCCCCTCGAGTGAATGCCATGGCGGATGGAACTCTTCAGCCTGCAGTCTTCCCGGAGATCGTGGGGGATGCACCATTCAGGGAAGTTCCTCTGAGGCACACGAGAGACAAACCTGCTGGTGAAAAAGCCTGGAAAGCTTGATTCAGCTTGATGTGTTCAAAAGCTGGACAATCATGCAATGGACACCTCTACCCTCTACATTGACATTCATACATTAATCATTGAGCGACCGACTGGACATTTTTTTCTGACCTCAGGGCATGAGTGACATGAGGGTAAGGTCCAAAAAGATGATCCGAGCTCGGCAGATCATGTCTGAGGGGAATCAGCTCTAAACGACTCGAATGACTCGAACGAGTGTAACAAGAGCTTTACTTCCCTGGAATCGCTGCTCATTCTGGAAGTTGCAAACACATTTCTGGGGAAGCCTATCATGTGATGCATGTTCAATTTTCCTTTAACTCGGGACATGCCATGCTCATTGTTCCATTGAAGTGAACATGGATTTGATGTGCCAGCCAGTTTCAAATGTTCTCCATCTTCACAATACCTTGCCATGCATTCCTGTTCTTGGGATTCTCAAACAGGGAGATGTGAGCAAACACCCACCCTCAATTCCAAAAGATGTGAGAATTGGTTGTCTCAACCGCTCGGAAGAACTTTCCGTCGCCACAGGCACGAAGAAGAAGACTACGTCCTTTGGCTTGGAAAGGACGACCGTCCAATGATTTCCACCTTACACCTCAGTCTAAATGAGACTAGATGCCTGAATAGCTCGTGGTCATGTCTTTCGTTTGAGTTTGAGCACCTTTTTCAGCCAAAACCAGAACACCAGTTGGGGCACAGTACGACTACCCAGTGGGGTTGCTCACCACAGAAAGCCATGGTACCATGAGAAATCTGCGTTTTGCCTCCCACACCATGCAATGTAAAGACCATGGAACCCCACTCGACGGGACTGGATCCACCAGGAGGCCAGCAGCGGGCTGCTGTCTGGGGTCTTGAAGCGCATCCTGCGCCTGCCAGACCTCATGTAGCTGGGCTGCAGATCCTGTTCGGTGAAGGCGTCCAAAACGACGCTTCACGCGGGGGAACACGATGGACTTGTTGAGAACTTGAAGCTTTGCACAACGGGTTTGGATGAGCAGCAGCCAATGAGATCTCTGCCTCAAGCCAATTAAACAGTGCATTCCATGTGAGATTAACTCCTCACATCCTAATGGTAGTAGAATCAGAAGAATTTGTTTTGGTAGAACAATCAGACCTAGGTCCTGAATCAGGAGCACTTTAGACAGGGTGTTTTGTTGTTTAAAGAACGTCAGTAAATATTTAGCCACTGCACAAAAACTACACAAGAAAGATCGCCGATGTCGGTCCCTTGAGTCATAAGTATAAGCCTGAAAAAGGAACATGCAGAAAAATGGCGGCCGTCATCTAAATGGTGTCCAGATTTCGAGGCACTTTTTTACAGTAGCTTCTTGTTTCTAGTAGTAAGGCCAGGAGCCCCTAGTAGCGTCCTTGCTCCTAGTAGCGATGCCCTTTGTTCCTAGTAGCTCCTTTCGTTCAAAATTCTTCGCGTCGTCTCTGGACCCGATGGACCGATGTCCTCACGAACCCCTCTGGCGCGAGGCTCGAGGAATCTGATGCATTGCGGCTGGAGGGTGGCCTGGCGCCAGCAGTGAGGAGCGGAGACAGCGGAGACAGCGGAGCGAAGTGGATAAGTGGTGAGCTGGTAGAGGTTGGTTTGGGTTTCAAGGTCTGGACTTTGAGGTTTCAAGTTTGTGTAGATTTTTGACCTGTGAAAGACCTTGGACTCAGTTATGTAAGGTATCAGGATCCTACCTATCGGTGTAGCAAGCCAACTCTGGAGAGCTACGATTCATGGCTCACCGCCACACTCTGAAGGAGCTCTCGCTGCAGATTCGACCATGAGACTGCGTGCAGTAGGCCTCCTCTGGAGGAATTGTTGCAGCTGACAACTGCAGGTTGGGGCAATTTGGGGTCATGGGCTCCACAGCAGAGTCTGGACATTTTGACAGGTTTCAGGATGTTTTAGGTGGAGGCCATCGCTAGTAGGTTGGAGGCCATCGCTATTAGGTTCAAGGCCATTGCTAGTAGGTTGGAGGCCATCGCTATTAGGTTTTTAGGTGGTTGCAGCCAGCTCTGCGGCAAAGACCTTTGATGCCTTTTTGATGCCTTTTTTCGCGCTTCCGCCCCAGTCCACTTCGTGGGAGGTGCGTCCAGCCAGCATGCGCATGGGGGTCTTTGCACTGCCTATGGCCCACGAGTGTCGAATCAAGACTCGCCACTGGGTCTGCAAGTGACTGAGTTATCAAACTCCAATGACCACTCCAGTAGCGGGACAAACCTCCCTTGTCCAAAAGGAGTTGGAGGTATACAACTATACAGGACTATACAACTTAAGTTTGCCACCACATGTCAGCGTGCAGCTGCATTGGAAAATGCTTGGTGCAGTCTCCACTGTGCTCGGGTGCTCCTGCTTTCTGAGGTATATCTGCTGTGCCGAGTGGGGTAGCATTGCCAAAAGCCCTGCCAGCCTTTTTGCGGTTTGTGACGGACATGGAGGTGGGAAGAAGAAGAGTTTTAAAGGCTTCAGCGGAATGTCCATCCGTTGGTTTCTGGAAGTTTTGAAATTTTACTGGCCCGAGAGAGGTTTTGATTTGCAATGGGTTTCCTATCTACTTACCGTATTACATCTCAATACCATGGATGGTATGCAACTTCAGGCTTTGGCGTATTTAAGTCCGACATTGGTGATTCATGCTCCTGCCCACCTCCTACACTATAGTGCTTGTTGATTGCCGTTTTCTAATTTTGAGGCAAAACTGGCCCAACAATGTTTGAAACCAGCTTGGGTGCACAACGCACCTGCAAACACGTGTTCAAGCTCGGCAGATTGCCTTGGAGATTTCAATTCGGCAGTGCCTTCCCCATAACACCCAGCAAAAGACCAAAGGAAAGGATCACTTGTGGTGGGTGTGTGTGAGTGTGCGTGTCCCTTTTTTGAAGTTCAAATTCAAATCCAGGGTTTGATCATGGAACAGGTCTCTGAAAGAGATCACACCTGTCGATGCAATCCGGTCATGTCAAAGGTGGTGTGGTGTCGGAGAATTTACCAGCAATGCTGAGCCGTGAGCTGGCGGCACTTGGTGAGCTCGAAGAAGGAAGACTGGTGGAGGCTGTGGAGGCCTGGTTTGGGTGAAGGCGGCTGTTCCAAAAGAGTGCGCAATGTGAACAGCCAATCAAGTTCTTTAAGCCGTAGAGCCTAGTTACAGTTAACTCCTGATGCCAGTAATGCCTTAGGTCGTGTGAAGCAATACCAGCATTGCATTGATAAAGCATCACAGCAATTCGCAACACCCACAGACCGAATTGTCATGACAAAGTCTTTATGCAGGCCATCTTTGTGGAGGTTGATGAGCAGCTGCACAAGAGCTTGGACGCTGCTGCGGAGCGGTGTGGCTCCACATGTGCGGCTGGATTTAACAAGATGGGGTCAGTTGGCATCTCTTCACCGAAGAGTGAAGTGTTCCAAGCGTTTCCACTAGTTTCGACCAACATCTGGGATTAACTTACCATTCTGAATTCTATTTTCTGCGGGCCTTTTCATACAAGACAGGTTCCAGCCATCCGATTGGCTGAGGCACGAGATCGATGTCTCAAGTATGCTTAACGCCTTCTCTGTCTTCTCTACAAAATCCAAAAATCCTTGCCAAAGCAAGCGCTTTTTGCATTCTCATGTCACAAGCATACACAAAAGTCAAAAGGTGCAAAATAACATGCAGCCATCGAACTGCCCGTTTATCCACACAGACCCCAACCACGAAGCCACAGCCAACCCTGAGCAGGTATATAAAACACTCCATATCAAAGTGCTTCATTCCTCCCTGCGCTGATGAAATCATGTAAACACTTCAAAATGCTGAAGAAAGTCTCGGGAACACCCAGGCTTCACCCCTTTAAGGCTCCTGACAACTTAGGATGGGTTAAGGTCCTCAGCTTTTCATATTTGAGATGAGAGTAGAGCAGGGCCGACCAATTGAAATACGACCCAACAAACGATCCCATGGTGGGAATCCTATGGTCGCTTTTCCTGAGGCGCTGTGCCTTTCGTGGCCTGTTGGAGGTGCAGCCCTCGGTGTGGAACGCGAGTCACTACCAATTGAAGCTGAGTTGATTGTAGAACTCAGCCCGTGGTTGGTTGTATATAATACTGCGCATGTTCTGAGCTTTGTGAGCTGGAGTGCGAACGTTCCAGAAAACATATCGACAGGTATCCCTGTGTGGGCCCGTTGGACACTGGAAATCCAAGAATGGTTCGTTTGTCAGCACGGCCAAAATCTAGGGAGGGATTGCTAGTGGCACATATTTCCAAGCAAAGCAGCTGGGCCATGTCTGCCCAGTTTTTGTCGCGTTTTGCAGACTTGGCTGGGCCCCACATCC